TATCCTGGAGGATCATAAAGAAATCCTCCTCACTCCGGCATCTTTCTTATGGATTCAATCCAAGGAAAAGAACAAAATGAGAAGCTCCTATGAGTAAATAAAATTGATCAGGTCCATGCTGGAGAGAAGATGGTTCCAGGAATACAGGCTACCTCGAAATGGCACAAGCAGAGTGGGCGAATCCCAAAGGTCAACAATCTGGTAGTCTTAGTCAGTGACTCCTTAACACGCCATGATTGGAAACTAGGGCGCGTATGGAGAATAAAAAAGTCCGCTGATGGGCAACCCAGAAATTTACAGATTCTCACAGAAAGGTCCTTGGCATGGCAGGACCCAAGAAGGGTAGTTACCTTCTAAAGAAACCTAAGGTTCTTTAGGGAGGTGTGTTGGAGAACTTCCAAGATCTCCAAAGTTAAATGTAGTATTACGGTTGGGGGCAATATATATATATTTAAGTATACCAAGTGTTAAATCTCGAAATCATACACCACGAGATGCAATCTCATAGTTATGTTTACATGATTATATTGGTACCACTTATTAGTTAATTAGAATACAGCAACCGTTGATACAGTTACATACAGTAAATTATATCGTTTTGTAATCGTAGAAGAACCGATCTTCAACAGAAATGTTTAAAAAAAACATATTTATTAAAATGGATACCTAAATTATTAATTTTAATATAATTTTCTAAGTCAGTTGCAGCGTTCTGCAACTTGAGATATATTATTTGTTAGGAATTGAGTACTAATTTCTGTATATTTACATTGTATATTAAACTTTGGAAAATTGAATCATATCATTTGTTGTAGTTATCCAAAAGTCATTTGATTCATTTCAGTTTATGTAATTTTGAACTACAGTTGTACTCAATGTAGTATAAGAACTTTAATATAACTTTTCAATGTATTTGATATGAAAATATCGAAAATAGCGTCGTCATTCGAGTAAAACAAAATAAGGATTTTACCACAATCCTTAGTAGCACATTTTCTTTTGTATAAACCAAAACTAAACAATTTGAAATGATGATGAACATGTGATGGAAGTGTATATGCATATTTCGAAGTGCCTTTTAAAGCATATTCCCTTCCAAGAGGCTCTGTAATGCAAAGAAAAATCTTAATAGTTTAAATTGAAATTGTCAGAATTACAAACTTTTTATAAAAATTTGAACTTTTCCAAATCCAACATTATTAACATTTTATCTCTACAAAACATTCATTTTAAAAAAAAAACATAACATCACAGGTAAGAGAAATAACAAGAATTACAAATAAAATTGAAACGAAATTATCAATTCATTTCGTGATACAAGTCGGTAAAAAATCTTGCAAATACCTTTTAGCAGGTTGTCTGTTGATTAGAATTCAAAAATATGTGTTGAAAATCACTTTAAAAGTATACTTTAATGAATACGACAGAAGTCGCCCAGGGCAGAAGTCGCCCAGGACAGAAGTCGCCCAGACATTGATAGAAGTCGCCCAGAGCTGTGACAGAAGTCGCCCAGAAGTGTGATAGAAGTCACCCAGGACTATGACAGAAGTCGCCCAGAAGTGTACTAGAAGTTTACAGTATGCTTAATAAAATGCAAAATATATGAAAATAATTTATGAAGTAGTTTGTATTTATTATTTGTAATCTGTGAGTGATAATGAAAGAAATTGTTTTACCAGTTTTTTTTGTAGAGTAATGTTTTACCACTTGATTTGTTGTGAAAATTGAATTGTTAGCTATTCGAATTAAGTGATTTTCTGCATTGTAATCCTTCAAAAGTAACAATTGTTTTGATAAAAATATTAGTCTCTTTAAAATCATGTATATATCTTACAATTTTTTTTTAATTCTCATGATCTTTGACATAACAGGTATTTGAAAGAAATTTATCAACATGGCAAAATTCTGCTTTGAATGTAGAAAAAAAATTAATAAACTAAAACAAGGAACATGTTCTCATTGTTCTCACAAACTTCATTGGACATGCTTATCAGGTTAGATTTTTCATATTTAAATCTTAATGTTTATGTTTAATTTTGTTAGATGGATTATGCTCCATTTGCTCATCTATTCAAATCAGAAGTTTGAAAATTGTTTTGAGAAGGTGTGATAATAGTTGTACAATCAAAGATGCAACTAAAGAATCTACTATTGAGGGAAATATTAAAGAGCCAATAAAAAATGCTGTAGAGAAAGATAAGACATTAGCAAACATTACGGTTACTTCTATGGATGTTGATCATGAACAAGTTGTTTCTCATTTCTCAGCAGATGCTATTGAAGCAAATGAGCTACCTTTAAAAGACATGAACACAGATGAAATCAACTGTGCTATTCATTCATTTTTGAAGAAAGAGGGAGCATTAAAACAAGTTCCTCTACTCTTTGCTTTTATGACATCAAAGAAGAAAAAAGCATACAATATTTTGTTTAGGGTAAGGGTATTTATAAAAATACAATTTTTTCAAAGTAAATAACATTTTATTAACAGACACTAAATGAACTTTTGGAATACAAAACACCAAAGAAAATTGTTCTGGACTATGAAAGAGCAGTATGGAAAGCTGCATTAGACAATTGGGAAAGTGTTACACTAACAGGCTGTTTATTCCATTGGAAACAAGCTGTTTACAGAAAAATTCAGGTGAAAATGAGGCTATTTTTATATAAGATGATTTACTCTACATTTTTTGTTTTAATAGGAACTTGGATATTCATCAGACTTTAAAAAAAAAAGAGGACAGTGGTTTGAAATGAGGCAGCTTATGGCATTACCATTTCTTCCATTTCACATAATTCCAATAGAATTTGGAAGAATTAAGGATTACCTTCAATCAGTAAAAAAACTAGGTGATCTAATAAAGTACTTTGAAAGGAATTGGATGATGGATAGAATTTGGTCACCAAAGCAATGGTCAATTTATAAAAATGCTATTAGAACTAATAATGATGTGGAGGGATTCCATAATCGGCTAAATGGCAATTTAAGAGCAAATTCTTCATTCTATTTGGTAGTAGATGAATTAAAACGAGAGGCAGATCTTATCCCAGCATATCAAAGAATGCTATCAGAGAGAAAGATATTAAGATATCAAAGAAGACAATATAAAAATATGCAGAATGAAATATTTAAAATTTGGGAGAAATTTGAAGCTCATCAGATGACTTCATCACAAGTTTTGGAAAAATGTTGTCAACTCTACTCAGAAATGAAATGAAATGCATAAGATTTGTAGTTTAAAACTCATTACTGTACTTTGTAGTGTTGTTGTCAACATGTTTGGTTATGTAATATCTTATCTTTTGCCTATAAAAGGGCTTGATTCTGGTAGTTCGGTACCATCTACCCTAGAGGCAACATCTACTCTACTACTTCTAGCATCATGTGGTGGGTACCATTAATATCATATCTACAATTTTTTTATTGTCATGATCTTTGACATAAGAGGTATTTGAAAGAAATTGATGAACATGGCAAAATTCTGCTTTGAATGTAGAAACAAATTTAATAAATTAAATGAAATGCATAAGATTTTTAGTTTAAAACTCAATACTGTACTTTGTATTGTGATTGTGGGAATTTTCTGCTGTACTGATCCAAATAGAACCTCAAGTTTGTGCACAAGTTTAAGCAAATAAATGATATTTATGTGAAACCTTCAACAGAATGCCAGTATTTTATTATTTAATTCATTCACTATTTAGTATTATTAAATGATGCATTCTATATTTATTAATACTTATTATATATTTCAATTGTCAGAAATCAATAGAAACAAAGAACAAACACATTATGTCTTCTACAGTTCTAGCGACTTCTGTCATAGTCTGGGCGACTTCTATCACAGTTCTGGGCGACTTCTGTCACAGCTCTGGGCGACTTCTAT